GTAGGGCATGTAGTGGATGGTGCCAAAATCCAGCTGGGAGAGCTCCGGAGAGTGGAAAAAGGGGTTGCCACGGGCTGGCTCCGGGGGAAAGCTCCTGAGGTTCCTCTGAGGATACGCATGTGGGAGGTGGTAAAGGGCATGTCCTGGGTGCTGGCGGAAAAGGTGGAGTCGCCGTCCAGGCTCCATGTCCCGAGGGGCCAGCCGGGAGCCAGCGGCCGTGGCCTGGTCCACCGAGTCTCTGGCTGTGGAGAGAGAAGGGAGAATCCGGCACACATCCCACAGCCCAGCTGCAGTAGCCCCAGCACCCATGAGCCTCCGCGGCACTCTCACGACGTTCTCACATCCCACCCGTGCCCTGCAGCTCCTCACTGCCACCACCACACCAGCTTGATGGCCCCGCACACTCAGCACCCTCGCTGCTGCCCCAGCCCTTAGATCTCAGCTCGCTTTCCCGCAGGTCCCAGGACTGGAAACCCCTCCTCGTGGTGCAGGTCCCAGCCCAAGCCCGGCACATCGCTGTACACTGCGGGGGCTCGCAGGTGCAGGGACCCCCCTCCACGTACACCCACGTGCACAGAGATACATGGTCCTGCTGACTGTATGTGTTGCCCAAGGGTAGGTGGACCTCCTGGGCACAACCCCTGCATCCAACCCCGTCCCTGGCTGGCAAATGCAGTGTCTGAGCCCTACCAAGAATGTTGAACATGCAAAGCGGACACGTGTGGTGTTGCTGCAGCCAGGGGTCAACACACTCCCGGTGAAACTCATGGGAGCACGAGATGATCCGCAGTTCCTAGAGAGAGGTGGAGAGAAGAGGAGTGTGAGCAAGGAGAACCATGTCCCAAGACCTGGATGGGTCTTTCTTGGTGGAAGCGAGCCTTGTAGGATGGACAGATGTCTAACGGCAAGCGATCTGCAGCCCAGCTTTGTATGGAGGAGGCTGTGCAGCAGCCTGGCAGCTCTGGTTCTGTTCACTGCGTCCAGCTCTGGAGCGTGAACGTCCAGAGAGGTGCTAGCCCTTGGGAATAGGGAGGTTTCAGGCTGAGTGCTTTGGAGAAGGAAACCCCGCTTTGCCCCATGGATGTATTATGGACATTTTACCCTCCAGCGACAGCTGGAGACACGTCTTCAGGGAATCCGAGTCTGCACGTGAGTGACTTGAGCAAGGGCAGGGTTTTTTTTGGCCAAGGGGCAGGCAGACCTCCATTGATGCGGTCCTTTCCCAGCCCTCAGGAGTTGCTGAAGGAATCATCCCAAGGGCCTCCTGCCCCTGCCAGACTGCTCAGCTCCCACTGCAGCTCCCACCTGACTGGGGTGGGAAGCTCAGAGCCGTGGCTGTCCCGCAGCCGTGCCCGCAGCCTACCTGGCCCTCGCTGAACTCCTCCAGGCAAATCGCACAGACCGGGGCTGAGCTGCAGCTACTGGTCGAGTCCCACCGCGACGCCGGTCGGCACCTGGGCTGGTACCTGCGCGTGGCCAGCTGCCCGATGGCCTGCATGGTCTGCTGCTGCAAGGAGTCCTGCCAGGGAGAGAGGAGGCTTTAAGGAGAGACTCGGCCTTACGTTGCCATACTTCTCATTGCCCTTCCGTTTTCAAAATGGAATTATCAGGAATTTGGGGGCGATGCTCGTTTCCAGAGGTGACTTTTTGTCTAACCTGATTTAGTCACCGGCAGGAGACATCTGGCACTGGACATTCCAACATCACCCAGCAGTGCTGAATTTTTGAGCCTCAAAGGCTTGTCTTTCTATAGGACAAACGGGGCATTCTCAAATCTGGAAATAGATCTGACTCTGGAAAGATGATTATTTAATTTGTTAGTTTCTATTAAAAATACTGAATCTCCTACTCTCTACCAGTACAGACAATACTGTTAAAATCAAGAGCTTGTGGGCCAGCTCTGCAGCGCTGGGTGCTGGGACGAGCTCTGAAAGGTGCTGGGACCGCAGACTGCAGCACTGGTGGGGCAGCAGGAGCAAGGCCACCACAGGAGGGCTGCTGCCAGCCCAGCTCAGGATCACTCGGCTCATCCCTGGGCCGCTCCTGCCTCATGTGGCCACATCTTCAGTTCACACAGAGGCACCTTTCCCCTCCCAAACCATCCCCGTTCCTGCCCTCCACGCATTTCTGTTTGCTCAGACACATCTGCTCCGTGAGCTTCCTACCTGGGTCCTGTTCAGCTGGCACTTTGTGCGGACAACAAAAATCAAGATGATGACAACCACAGTGCTGACCACCGTGAGAAGAATCCACACGTCGTAGTCCGGCTGTTGGATAAAACGGGAAAGAAATTACTGTTGTGTGGCAGCGGTGGGAATTAAAGGCAAGGCAGGGGCATCCCAATCTCTTCCTGACCATCAGCCTTTGAATCCACGATCCTTGGCCAAGCTCTACCTCCTTGTGCTTTACAGGTAAAAGAAAAAGGGCTCAGTCTTTTCTGCACATTCCAGCGGGAATGGAATTGGTCTGTCTTGCAGCATCTCAGATCCTTAGAGGCCATGGTCTAACGTGGCACAAGATAAGAAAATCAAGGCTTGGTCTCACCTGAAGAGACAGGGAATCCCCTCGCCTCACTCGTGATGTTAAAGCAAAAGAAACTAAATCAGCTGAAAGCACTTTTGAGCCTTTATTTGCAGCATGTCATCTGAATGGTGCAGACAGGCAGCTCCTGCAAAGGGCTGTGATCTCCATCCCTGGGGAGGAAAGCTCAGCATCTTTGGGAAAGTCCTATTCCATGGCACAGCAGCTCGGGAGGGAGGAGACAGAAGGCAGTGGGAACGGTGCGTCTCTCACCCAAGCTGGTGGCTCCTTGACCTCTATCTTCACGTGGGCCTCCCTGTTCTTGTTCACGACACCCATGAGAAGCTCGGCATCGTGGCCCCTGATCAGAACCACAGGCTGACTCAGACCTCTGGGCTTCCTCAGCTGTAAAGAAACAAACAGTGAGAGATGGTCCAGAACAGCCTGAAACAAGGACTATCCTGGCCCCCCACGCATGTCTGGTTCCTACTGATGCTTCTTGCACACATTTTAGGACTGACTGCTCCCCCAGACTTGCACTATTCCTCTGTGATGAAATCAGATGGAAGCTCCTCCTCTTTTACCAACTCTTCGGCATGACTTTCTTCATTTCCTCCCATGGTGCCTCCTCATGCACAACTGGACACTGCTCAGTGTCTCTTGTGCTCCTCTCTCAAGCCCCTGTGCAAAAGTTTTGGTCTCCTCTTTCACAAACAGACTGCCAACAACACTGCCAACTGCTGCCTTCACTACACAAGTGCTTCTTCTTCCATCAGTGTTCCCCCTCCTCCCTCTGTGATCTGCAGGACATTCTGTTTGTTTCTGATCATACCAGCAGTTTTCCACCATGGTCCAGGCAGCCTGGCACGGGCTGGCTCAGCAAGTGTCCGAGTCTGTCCCCTCCTCCAGCCTGACCTGAATGAGGGTGGCCATCTGACCCGCTGACCACCTCCTGTACCCTTCCTGAGCAACCTCAGCATCGCCTCATGGTCCTGCACTTGCTGCATTTCTCTGACATCAGAAATTAAGTTGTAAGTGCATGAAAGAACCATGAGGGGTGGATCCAGCGAGCAAGAGTCAGTCCAGAGTTTTGATAAGGTCAGACACCAGTTTCCCTATCTGTCCTCTTACCTAATAATGCTGGATGCTTTTCCTTATCCCTTGATTATTTCGATGGGGAACCTATTCCTTTCCAGAGATGACAGCAGTGTTGGTGGAAGGAACCTCTGGAGGTCTCTAAACTGGCAGCAGGGGTATCATCAACAGCACAGCAGGGTGACTGTGACTTTGGCTTGAAAACTCAATAAACCACCTTTCCCCTAAGGTACCAGGGCTATCTGTACTGGATGGCATTGGGTAATCTGTGACTTCCCAAGAGTAAGTATCCAGCTCCTGGCAGAAAAGCTCAATTAACCAGACAATGTCATGGAATCATAGAATGGTTTGGGTTGGAAGGGACCTCAAAGAT